CCTGTGTACTACAATCTTTGCAAAAAGTGCCAACAGAGATAGGGATTTCTGTCAAAACACACAACTTAGGATGAAATTATCTAAAGTAACAGATTTTTTTTTTATCTGAAATTTTTATTAAAAAGAAGTCTATCAGACTTCTCATGGATGTCCAACAAGGACCAAAAAGTTGACCCAAGAAGCTGTAATTTAAATAGCTGAGATTCATCTGAAGGAGATTTATGAGGAAACAGATTTGGAATGCTACATTAAATAAATTAGTAGTGACAATTTTTTTATGTGTAGTACATTTAAGAAATAACTGCAAAATAAACTAGGAGGTCATAATATTCAAAGTTAAGCAACAAAATTTAAACAAATTATTTGGCTATTTACTGGGAACCATGTGTTCACATGTCACAACTTATTTAAGTATTTCTATTTTAGTTTATAGCATTTGGCAACCAGTCTCTTAAATAGAGGGGCTCATAAGGTCAAGGGTGAAGAGTGGTACCATGTTAGTAATGCTTATGGTAAGTAGGTAAATAGTTTCAATTTAAAATAGTTAAATTTATAAACGGATCTGATTAGCAATTTTTGTATCTAAACATTTTCTTCTTAGATAATATAATTTTAAAAACGTACATGTTAGAAAAGTTTGCAGTGAACCCTTCAAAGATTTCTGTTTATTGCAACATTATCGATAAATAAAACCTCTTGAATTACCAGTGTTCAGTATTTGTGAAAATAAATTCAATCTTATTCTCCGTTAAATAATTATATCTTGAAGTTTTTCCATTAAAAGGTGGATTTTACATTTTTCATGGAAACTATAAGAATGCAATTTGTGCCTGAAACAGCCTACTGCTTAGATACTGCTGATTTTTTTTTTCAGAGGAAAAACAGCTATATAATCCTCAAGTTTAAACAAATTGTGCATCCAAAAGTCTGTGTCCTTAAAAAACCCAAGACATTAAAATGAGGCAATAAGATGGTGACATTTATAAATCACTGCACCTTGACTGTTCTACTGCATTCACTTGAGATCATTATTTTTAGTCTAGGGTTTCCACTGCCTTATGCTGACAATTAGGAGCTGCCATTAACTTACTTCATTGTACATTATTGTCAATGGTGCTGATAGATCATTTTGAAGGATCTTGCAAATCTTTAAGGGAGGTTGTGTATTTATAGATTAATATGCAGTGCATAATACACTTTACAAATATACAAACCCAATAAAATCAAAACCTCATATTGAACAGGATTTTAACACTTAAGATATTTACAGCAGCATCAAATTTTTAAATATACCTAAAGAATTGAATTACAGATTTAAGCATGTGAATGATTCGGCATGTGAATGATTTTCTGCCTTAATTCATTTGACTCAGTATCAGTACTTGGTTATAGTTTTAATTTATATGTGAGGCAAACACAGCTTGAAACTCACTTAAATAAAGCAATACTGTAATGATGCACCTGAGCATAATTACTTTCAGCTACTTTTGAAAACTGGATTTACAAGTGCAAGTACACTAGGAGTGTGAGCGTAAGGGACAACCTTGTTCTTTTACCCGAGAAACCTTAGTTAGATCCATGGAGATCTGGCACGGTGGGCCTCCAGCCATGCATGGAGGCACTCGGAGCAGAGGAGGTCCATGGCATCCATGGATCTTCACTGGAGGACAAACGCTGCTCCCTAGAGAAACATCCACATCTTGCAGCTGCCCTACAAAATGATCATGTTCATTCAGGCACTGGCAAAGATCTTCCCACTTCCTCTCAGTGAGTAACGATTCACCAAACTTTTAGGCCAAAAGGTCTCTGACAGATAAATAAAACCATGACGACTTTTATTAGGGAACTACTTTATTATAAAAAGCTAAAGATTTCATAAGACGGTCATTTGCAAAAGCAATAAAAATGTAGAAAACTTTTGACTGTATTTATAAATATGTTACTTGCTCTTTTTCTTAGCAAATTTATTCACAGCTTAGTTTCTTGTATCCAAACTAGGCTTGTTTTCTTGCAGCCATATGGAAGCTCTTGACTTAGGTCACAGCTGAAAAATGTAGTTTTCCATCGGACATATTGTATGGTGTGTGATTGAATCTAAAGAAATAAAAACAAAGAAGTATTTAGGATAAAATGCACAAAAAGCTGATCATAAAGTGCAGTGTACTTTACAGCAACTTTTGATTCAAAACAGCAATGGAGCTGAGAACAGAGAGGAGGACCCTGTAAATAAATGCAAACAAATGATAGTGCAGCAAACACACTTTAGTCTAAAAATGGTGCTGAATTAACAATATATTTTAATAGTTTTTTCAAATTTTACTTATATTTTGATTCAATTATGCCAAGGGGTTTTCCCATAACTTAGTTTGTTCAGCTGTACATGAAATCTAAGTGGAATGATCATACTAAAGATAAATTCAAAACACTTTGGATGAAATTCTTCCTGATAAAATTACAATGGTAAGAACGAAGGTCAGCAAAAAAGTGATCATAGTTTTAACAGAAAGTCCTTACCATAGGGACAATCCTCCTAAAAATGGAACAACTGTCTATTCCATTCTCTTCTTTCTATAGTCTCAATTTAGTAATGTTTATAGCTAACTTTTGAATATATATTCTGTAATGTTTTATATAGATTGAAATTTAGGCTCTTACCTAATATCCATTTTTCTGATATGTGTTTTATTTCCTGGTACTTCTTTCCTGGGTATTCTCCTATGCAGATTGTTGCCTGTCGTAAGGCTTTGCATGTTCTTCCTCCTGACAGCTGTATAAGTTCACTCAGCTTTTGGCAGGGAGGCTGACTGGTAGGTGATACAAACATCACAGGCTGACTTGCAAAGAGATTCTGCTGATATTTTCCTGTTGAGAGATGACGTTGAAGCCTGCAGATCTGTATTTGAGGAAATAAGGGAATTAATAGCCAATATGTTTTAACTCCACCCAAAGTAAAACTAATTATTTTCTTCATGAATTCGGAAGTTGTCATTTTTTATACAGATGATCACAAAGAAACATAGGAGCAAGTCGCATAGCAGAAAAAAAGGCTACTCTGCATATTTTCTATTTACATTGCACAGATGAATAAGAAACTGTAGACAGTGAAGAGCTGCAACTGGAACAGTGGAGGAAATCATTTGTTGAGTAGATATGTGAGCTCTTCCTCAGTTCTGGCACAAACTTGCTGTAAGACCACAGGCAGTTAAGATAATATATTGAACTTAGCAGGAGATGTGCAGCCAGAGAAAGGGTCTTCACCCAGTTTACATAAGTTTATGAAGCAAAGCAGTTCTGTAGCATTTTCACATGTCCTTACAAAAAAGTGAAAGGGAATTGCTTGAGCACTCCTAAAAACAGCTAGCTGAAGAACCAGGGAAGTGTGAAGCTTGGGCCAATGTGAGCTATAACTCAGGGGTCTTTGTGCCATTGTCCCCTGTGTGGGAAACAAGCCAATCCTAGCCTGAATTCTGGCATCTTCCTCAATCAGCAGAGAATTCAACTCCTTAATTCCCCAACTACTCTCTAAATCAAAGCTGATTCTTTGCCTGTTGAATGCAGCTCGTTATGGAGACTGCTCCAGCTGAGGTATGCCAAAAGCACTCGAGTAGAACCAGACATCCTCTATTCTTGTGTGAATTTATATTTATGAAAGACACCTAATCCTGCCTCACTGCAGCCAAAGAGCTTCCAGATAATTCGGTTGAGCAACAAAGCAGAGCCATATTGCAGACTTCAGAAGACCAAGGCTCGCTCACTTCTGATAAAAGAGTCCTCAGATTTTGGACCAGGTATGTACCCTTTACCTCCACCTGAGTTGCAGGTGGAGGTACACAGAACGTTCTTCTATAAACACCCAGCTGCTGGACAGGGAATACTTGATGATCGATGTCATGGAAGTACTGTACAGACTTCATATGTGGCATCAGATTCAGAATCTGTACATGTACCACTTGCTGATGGGAGCTTTAGGCTTTGAGGCCATGGTCAGTGTCTTAAAACGGGTCTAGATCAAAAATTTGCAATCTCAGCTTGCAATCTCTGATGTAGAAAGACAGTGTCATGATTTTGGTATTGCTGGGATTGTGATCATTCGTTTTCATATATTGCAATCATGAGGCAACTACAAAAGTGCTGTGTAAGCTAGGTCAACACAGGAAAGAATGCAGTACACAGAAATAGCTCAAAATAGCCTCATGAGAGATACAGTTCCATCTTAGTTGGTCTGACACAGAGGGCATCTCTGCAGTTGTCTACTTGCATAAACCAGTTGCAACTGAAAGAAGCAAAACAATTACCAACACACTTTAGTGTTACTCTATCTAAAATAAATCAGCTTTAATTCAAAGACTCAACACTTTTTATCAGCCTGTAACACAAAGATTTCAAAATTAAAATGATTAGGATTGAGAAATTGTTATTTTAAAAAATCAGCACTTGTGTTAGAGAGAAGATGCAAAGTATAACTTGTTGCAATCCTGCTATTTCACACATTTGGCGGAATATGACTTAAAAGGACTAGTTGTATTCCCACTTCTTCATACATTTTCCCTGAAAGCCTTTACTTATATGTATGTATGTATGTATGTAAAGAAAGCTCTTGCGTACAGTCTGTCCTTCTACAGGAAGAACATTTGGATTAAATTAATTTTAAAGGCAAAAACACACATAGCTAACCACCAAATCAGGATATGCAAAGTTTCAGCAGAAAAGAACACTTGCCTCAGGTGATGTACACAAATAGCATCTTTTATGCTATATTTGATTTCAATTAAGAGCCCAAGAAAGTGAAATGCTCATATTATACTCAGATGGTCCTTGATTTCTTAAATTTCCTTTAAAATTCCTATCTGTGGGCATTATTAGTGCATAAGACAAAGTATACAGTCCATCTGTGCGATGTCACCGCAAGAAGTTTCAGCTTGCAACTTCATATTTATTTTTCCTGCACCTGAGACACCTCCAGAGCTTTCCAGGCAAGCTGTGCTTGGATTTGCTCGAGCACAGAAGGGCCACCCATTTCTCAGGGCTGGAAACATGGATAGCGTTGAAGTCCATGCGGCTCATGGGGTACACTGACAAGTTAACTTTGCCTCCTGGCTCATTAATCGGAGAGAAATCCTTGCCCAGGTGCTGAAGAGACCCCCCTCAGCTGCCTGTGCAGAGTTTGGTTTGGGAATTAAGCAGCCTAATCTGGCTCTTACCATCGAATTGACTCAGCTGCCTCTGCAACATCAAAGAGCTCGCGGCACTCCAGGAGCGCTTCGAGCCCTTTGAAACCACACGGATTTTGTGTAAGCTTTTAAAAATAAATAAATAATTCCTCAGCAGAGCCCAAGCCTGGGAAAATTTCAGACCCCAAAAGCAATTATTTCCACAAATTGTATCAACTGGTAGTTATAACTACAATAGTGTCAGTCTGTATTTTTACAGATGGCACTGCTGCCTGCTATGGTATGAGGCAGTGATGGCAATTTTCCTTTCTAATTATGCTTTTTAGCAGATGGATAGAAAAAATAAATCTCTTACAAGAGATTTACTCCTCATGGATGGTAGGAGGATGCCTACCAGATGCCTAGATGTGTCTGTCAAAAAATATCATGAATGTAGACATTTCTTCGAGTCTAAGATGGAAAAAAAAACACTCTTGCCAGAATTAAATCTTACAGAGAATTTATGATAAAGAAAAAGAACTTTTTCTCATTACAAAAATAGTACATTTCACCAACTATTCTCCTTTTTGTATTTCAGTAGTAGAAAACGTTAATCTCATATTTCTAACTTTTCCATAATTCAGCTCAGAAATTACAACAGCAGCAGAAACAAAATAGTGTAATTTGTTACCCTACATTGTACATGCATTGAGACTTCGCCATCCACCCGTTCAGTTTTGATTCTGGTTCTCACTCTCCCAACCCAAAACACCATTTACTAAACAAACTCTACAACTTTGTCTGGAGTGTTATGAAAATGTACACAGATAAAATCCCGGTGGCTGCGCACAGGAACAAGGACAAAAGTTCAGATATGGATGGAGAAGGATGGGACCTTTTAATGAGTCTTAGGAAATAGCATTAAGTTCCCAAAAGATGTAATAATTTGTCAAATCAGGACCAAATTACAGCAGCAAGTGAACAGGATCAGAGATCATCTGTTTTATCAAGACATCAACCACTTCTCCATTCACCTTCTTTTTTAATTCTGCATGAAAAAGTTAAGTTTATGAACAAGAAGGGATGTGTACAAAGTTCGTCATCATTAAGTAAAATAATGTTTTAGCTTAAGATTTTATGGAAATATTATATTGGATGACAGTTAAAATAAACTTGTTTTAAAATGTTAGTTTAGGCTATTTTTAGGCTTTTTTTTTTATTAAAAAAATCTTACTTTTTGAATTATGTGGCTTCTTCCCTTCGGGTATATATCTGAATATCTATCCATTTTGAATTCATGCAATACATTGTATAAGAAAGCAATTTTTTCAGAATGCACATGGAAATGTTTTCACAAAGAAACTTTGTGTCCTATGAACTGTCTGTGTCCTATGAAGCACACAGTTTCTAGCATACTTCCACAAAGTGGCACATGAAGACATTTCCAGGCTAAAACGCAATTAGAAAAATAATTCCTCATGAGAATTTAATTGAAAATATGATAGTGAATTAGTAAATCTAATAGAAAATGTATTTGTAGTCTATAATTCAAATTGTGAAATATTTGCTTTGAACATATTATATAAAATAAAGCCATCTGTAATATCTATACATGTCTAAAAATTTAAATGGCCATTATGGTAATTAATAATATAGTACCATAAATAATATGTTAATAATATAATAATTATTTTCTATTATTAACTAGAGACAAATAAACCCACAAAAATACACTTCAAAATTTTATTTTATTCTTAGCATTTTGCTGAGTGGTTAATATAGATGGCTAATAATATATAATGTTGGAAACCTTACTGATACCTACTTAGGCTATTTTCATATGAAGTATTTGCTGAACATATGGAAAGTTTTAACCAAATCTTAGTTACTGCTACTCGTAAAAATAATAAATACAGTTTATTAAATACAAACAGCAGGAGATAAATTTTCAGAGATAAGTTAAAAGACATAAGATTGTATATTTTATGGCTTATATCTGAAGACCAAGTGTTATTTCATTTGAAGTTGATGAGAAATTGTCCATTTTCATCAGACAGAAAAAAAAATAAAGTCTATGAGTTAATTCATCACTCTGCAACTATTAAATGTCAAAAAAAAAAAAGAAATTGATAAAACTTAAAAAGTCTTTACAAATTTAACAAGAAAGTTGCACATAAAATAGTACATCCATTTGATGTTGCTGGGTCATGTCGTTGGGGAAATCTTAATGTCTAAGATTTTAATATCCGCATGATTTTATTACAGGTAAATATGTTGTACCAGTAACATGTATATTTTCAGCTATAAAAAGACCAACATATTCAAGATGAGCTACAACACTGGTACATCTACAAGCTGCCGCACTGGTGGCAAACGCTACTCTTACATCGCCATGTGTATTTCCAGACAGTCCGTCACTTAGTAAAAATTTCAAAGAAAAACACATATGTGGAGCCCTATGTACATTTGAAGATCAAGGGCTCAGAGGCATACACAGAAATGAAGTACGGGGCTGCTTCTGATGAAGGGGAGCACAGCGCAGTGGCCGGACTCCTGCGAGCGCAGGTACCCTGCAGGGAGGAATGTGCAGAATCTGCAGGACCCGACGGGGATCAAGGGGCTTTGAGCCAACAGAGCCGCAGCTCCCCGGCAGCACGAGGGAGAGCAGCGCTCCTCATCTTTCTAAATGTCAGCTTTATTAAAAGAATGGAAGTGGCTAATCAAATAGCAACACTACTTTTGC